GAGGTCCACTCAGTTATGAGGACAAAACAAATTACTGATTTACTCAGTTTAGTCCCTAAATTTACATTCTTGACCTAATTCACTATCGGTACAGGGTTTTTAAATTTTACTGTTTTAGTGGAATTACATAATCTGAAATAAAGTGTCTCAACAGTCACTTGCAAGAAATTTTTGATTTCCAAATATTCTGAAATCCCCAGGCATCTGAACATTTTTCTTGTACCCCATCATAAAAGTATTAACTTTTATAGATCATATACAAATTTTAAAATATAAAGGTGGAAATAGACCAGCTGAAGCAATATCTAAGCAAAAACTATTTAAATTTAATGAAAATATAACCAATATCTGCTATTATGAATATAAGAATCACATTATATGTGGAAGTATTTCAGATTTAGTTGCAACTGCGGTGGCTTTGATTTGGCTCTGTAATTAGCATCTACATGCTAGATTTTTGTGACTGCTGTGAATATTATTTTTGGAAGGTTTGTCCAAATATAATTTTGTACTTGTTGCTTTTATCAAAAATTGGTGTCTAATGAAATAAGATGTAAGGATCTCATGCTTCTGACATTTTTCTGAGTGTTTGCTGTTAATTACTTGCTGCCCACCTCTTTCTGTATGCAACCACAATATAGTTACAACAGTGGGTAAAACAATGAGTTACACAGCTGCTAATCAAATGCTAAGTTGTTTGATCATATACCAAAATAGAACTGGAAACTTAGAATTTGGAAGAAAACAGTTGATTCCTTTTTGTATATTCTGTAACACATATTCATAATTAGTATTTTGACATAGTTTTGTGATGTGAAGTCAGACTTGGAGTATCCGGCAGCAGACCAAGTGCTAAAAATCAGAGATCCATTTTCTCTTTCTTGACCACATAGTTATGATCTCAAAACAGCGAGGGGGAAGAGGACAAGGAGGAGGTCAGCCTTTGATATACTTATCTAAAATTTTTCCAGCAGAGGCTATTTTGATTAATTTGGAATACATATTAATTTAGTCCATAGTACTGTGTTCATTTTCGTTTATATGTGGATGGGAGGACACCATCATTTTCTGGGTTCTTAGGGTCTCTAGAGGTCTTGATCTGAACTTGATGAAACACTGAATTTGCCATTTGCAAGTCCTAGCCGTACATTTCCTTGTCAGTCATGTAAGTTAGCATTTATTGAATGCAACCTGGCTTTTGAAGGTGGGAAGAGATGGATTAGGGAGGTGGAGAAAACAGAATCTTAGACACTGAGGATGTTTACAGGGTGGCTGGGGCAAAGGATAACAGGGGAAAATGATGGAGATAAATTTTTAGAGATAAATATGAAAAAATACCCAACTTCCTCCTTAGATTTTGGAAGCTAAAATATTTTACACAAACTTGGCTTTCTTTTGAGCAAGACTTCAGTGTGTCTAAAACTTTTTTACCTCTTCCCAATGATATCACATCCTTCTGCGGTGATACAATTTGAGATTCAGAATCATGTGTTTGTAATGTCCGTTTCATTTTTCTCACTTAAAGAATGTATCTTTTGGTAGGGAGAAAATATCTTATTTACCAGCCATTACTTCTTGTAAAGGTCAGTGGGACAAGACCAAGGGAATATGCAATCCAAAGATGAGAGTACTGTTTAAAAAGTGATCTCTTTTCTTTCTTTCTTTCTTTCTTTTTTTTTTTTTACTCCCCAGCAGACTTGCCTAAAAGTGCTATGTATCAATGTTGACGCTAGACTGACTGACATCCAGCAACATCATACACAGAGCCCCGGGTCCTGTGTCATTGAGAAGAGTCCTCCAGTGGGGGGGATTTCCTTCCTTGGTTGTGTTGTTTGAACTCTGATCTAGCTGTATAGTGATGAGCCACAGACCTGCCTCTTAACTACTATCATTTCCTTTCTTCTCCTCTTCTTCCTCCTTGTACTCTTTCCCCACATTTCTCAGTTGGTAAAAAAAAAGTGCTCCCATGGGCATTTGCTTATGAACCCTTCCCCCTTTTTTTTGAAGCAGGATCTCACTATGACTCTATGCTGTGAAGGCTCGTCTTGAACTCACTACGTAGTCCAGGCTGGCCTTGAATGTGTGGTGATCCTTCTGCTTCAGCCTTCTGAGTGCTGTAACTCGAGGCATGCACCACCATGCTTAGCCTTTTGCTCCTCCAGGTTTGATGCGAGTTGTTACCTGTGTGGTAGACAAGGCAGGAGGTGTGTTACCTATGTTACTACCACACAGATTGGTCTGAATGGGTGGCAAAGAGCAGTGTGAGAGACACATTGAGTGAATTGTCAGGATCACACAGGCCTTTAGGTTTTAAGTCCTAAGGATTCCAGAGCCCATTCTTTTTGTATTACATGAAAACATTTTAAGGTCTTGAATAATGTATGCTGGGAGTTCAGGCTTTGTGCCAGTCCCACAGGGAAAATTCTTCTGGCTAGAAGCATCACCCTGCCCTCTTGTACCTTTCAAGTTAGATGAGGTGGATCTAATTACTTCTGCTAACACATAAGGCGGGCTTTGTGTAGTTGTACCTTAAGTCTTTTAAATATGGGTTTATTTCAGTGAGACTTTAATCTTTGTTCTGAACTTTTTCAATTAAATTCAATTTAGGGAACATTTTTTTTTTTTGAGTGTTCTTTGCCAGGCACTGTGCTAGATGCTGATGGTATAAAAACAATCTAGGAGAGGGACATTGTAAGATGTAATAAATAATTATCATGCAGTTTGCTGGATGATGTAATAGAAGCATATACAGGGATCTTGGGGGTGTGTGAGAAAATAATTAATTCTGCCCGGAGGAGAGATGTCAGCAAATGCTATATTGGATCAGAACCTTGAAGGTCAAGAAATGATAATTTTCCAGGACAGGAGGAGGTTGAGAGTTCATTTCAGGTGACAGCAACATTGTGAGCATATGTGTGACTATGCCTGGAATGCGTAGGGGATGGCAAGAGTGGTAGATTGTAAAAACAGTCACAGATTCTTTCCTTTCTTGCATCTCACCCCTGGCAGAATGACAGTTCAGATGCTTTCCTTAAGAGGTAGAGTCTCCCTTCTCATCACTGAGCTAGGTCAGTCATGTGACACGCGTGGCCCAGTGGACATTAACAGGCAGGAAGGAGCCCGAGGCTTGAAAAGTACTTTTGCCCTGGGATTCTGTGCTGGGGACCCTGAGGCTGTCACGTGAATGGGGCTGGAGGATGAATGGGTATCCACGGGAGAACCAGGGTTGGTTTTCTGGCTGATGGTCTTTGAAACACTAAACATGTAATGAGATCATCTTAGGTCACATAGGTACCAGCAGATCCACCCTCTGACCACAAACGGTGAGTGAATCCAGACAGAATCAGGCAGTTGTCAGCCCAGATAGGCTGACCCAACTGATTCCCAGGATCATGAACTATATGAGAAGTTATTTTAGTTGGTAGGGATGTTTAGGATGGTTTGTTATGCAGCAAAGCTTATGCACAGAAGGTATTTATAAGTATTCTACAGGGAATAAAAGAGGGTGTGTAGCAATCCTGGGATCACATTAAGGAGTTGAGACCCATTTTCTAATACCAAGTTTCCCAAGCTGCATTGATTCACACACCACTTTATCTTTTTACAAATATTTTCAAACTACCTGAAAGATTTTTAGAAAAAACTCTCCAATTTTTGCAGGGCAATTTGTTTTAAGGTAAACTTAATATTAACTTGATTTTCCACATTGATATGATAGTTCGGTTTTTCTAAACCTATTAAACATATAACTATTTAAAACTTTGGCCAAAAGAAATCACCTTCTATATTGTGGGTGGTGTGTTCTAGGATTTTCTGGTTTAATCTGTAGGACTCAGAACTAGATGGAGAAAAATGTGAAGTGGAGAAGCAGCCGCAGAAGTCTGGGTGGGATATGGTTTACAGTAGATGGCAAGATTTAAGACGTGTCCCCGAGGGAAACAGGAAAGCACTTGTGACGGGCTTGACGTACATGAGGCAGGATTCAGGAGTGTGAAGCAGAAGGAGTGCAAGAGATACAGCTGGGGTAACTAGGTTCTTAGCTTGGGGCACTGAGTGGATGCTGATACTCCTTAGAAAAGGAACAGAGAAAAAACAAAGATAGTAGACTTGATGGAATAGATAACAAATGAGTTTATTGAACTCGAGAGAGTGGATTATGTAAAAATGGTCTATAAGAGGTGAGATTGGTGAGAAGAGGCATATCAAACAATTGAATTTGTAGACATGGGCTTAAAATACTATTTTTGAGGTCATCAGCATAAAGATGGTAGGCGGTCACGGAATAGCTGATGTCATACACACACATACACACAAACACACACACACACAAATCTGGTACAGAGATCTTCAGCTTTTTTTATTCCCAAACTCTTAGAAAAAACACAACAGAATGTAGCTAGAAATAGTGAGAGGTGCATGTATGTAATAATCCCCAGATGGGGGCGAAGGGAATCTTTAGATTGAAAAGATGTCCCCCAGCTTATTTCAATGCTACTGCCTCTCACCTTCTGTTTATTTAGCTTGAGACAAGGACAGGGCTGAGGAGAAAGAACCAGTGAAAGGAGATGAAGCTGTCTAAGAGTGGCCCTAAGAGGCAGGGAGCTCGTACAGGCAGGAAGGAAGTTGATGATGAAGGGGCGAGAGTCTCAGTGCTGAAGCCTGCAGAGAAATCCTACGTGATGACTGGATTTGCCCTTCCAAGTATAGTACTTGCCAGACAATAGGCGCACAAGGAGAGTTTGGGGGAATGATTTATGTAAAACTGTCTTTGAAACACTTCATAAGCCTTAAATATTCAAGACCAAGAGGGTTTGTAATTATACTACTTTGGGCTTGGGAATCAACGTGGGTTTTAACGCTTTTCTTTCTGTGCACGGCTAACATTTTAGGAAAGTGCCCAGTTGGGCACCATAATCCTGATCTCAGTGTAAAGCGATGCTTGAATGGGTTCTAGGAGTAGTGCTAAGGGCAAGGATGCTGACCGATGTCTTCTCTTGCAGCTGCTCCACGTGTGGGCCTTGTGCCTCTGGTGCTCCTGGCTCCCATACGCAGGTCACTTGCCTTGCACTGCCTTGGGTGAAAGGAAACTTCCCTACGAGGCAGAACTGGGATGGCACCAGCCTCTCTGGGCCTCAGGTAATGTTTACACTCAATGGATAGCTTCTATTATTTTTAAAATGAATGAGTTTTTTACCTGACTTTGTGTGAGCCAAGGAAGGGTCCCAGATTGAGACGGCAGAGCTTCCTCAACACAACTTGGTACCACTCGAGCTTGCCTGGAGAATCCTTTGCAGCGCAGGTTCACAGGTTCGTTCCTGTGACATCTGGTATTCCTGATTCCTGTGAGAGTGACTTCTCCCTAAATGTGCCCTGAAAGCATTCCTGCTGTGCCCCTTCTGTCCAAGCATAAGCACATCGTAGAAAATGAACAAGTCATGACCTGGCTTTCCTGGAAGGAATCAAGAAATGCCTTACTCAGTTTGACCTGTTTTATTTCTTTCTTTAGGTTTCTAGAATTGGGGATTGAATGGAGGGCCTTCACACTGAGCTACACTCCCCATTCTTCTCTTATGTTTATTTTCAGACAGGTCTCCCTCAGTTGCTTAGTCAGGGCTTAAACTTGCAATCCTTCTGCCTCAACCTCTCAGAGCGCTGGGAATACAGGCATGCGCTGCCATACCTGGCTTTGAACCTAGGTTTGGGTGTCTAGCTTCAGAAAACGTGACCACTTGTTGGGGTAGGTGCTGTTTTCTTGTGCCCTTGGCAACTCAGTCTCTTCCTCCTATGCTCCCAACGCTTTCTGTGTTCCCCTTTTGAGACAGCTGGCTGAGGACAATTGCTTCGGCCACTTCAACCTGTGAGAGCCGATGTCTCGTGGTAGATGCTCAGAACAGCTGGTCTTCTGTAGGTATTTACACCTGTAGATGCGGCATTGTAGTAACTGAGGTAGAGGACACATTTTCAAATAACCGCAGCAGTCTGAAGCTAGACCTAAAAATCGTTCGGGTACTCATTTTGACTTCTTGTAATGCAAAGCCATTAAAATGATGAAAGAAAATGGGTATGTAACGAGGCCGTGAAGACACCAAAATACAAAGGGAAAGGCAAGCCTTTTCACTTTCCCTTGCTCTGGTCTCCTCAGTTCCATTTTCGGCTCTGGCCTAATGAATGCATTGTAAGTCAGACCCGACTGCGTGCTCTCTTTGCTGTCTGTCTTCTGCTCCTGCAAACATCGGCCCAGCCACTCTTTCAGATCCACTTCAAGGAGACCCAGGCGTGCAAACCGTCCCCCGTGGCTGTGTGTGAACTGCTCCCGCACACTGGGTCCAATTGCTGGAGGAGAGACGGAGAGGTGAGCAGCCAGCCAGCACTTAGGGAAAGGATGTAGGTGAGCCAGCAGCTAATGGGAAAAACAGGGGGTGTGGGGAAGTCGGAAAGGCCCTTCTGCTTGCCAGGGGATTTGAATATTTGGCAAACAGCTGGCAGGGCTCTGGGAGGGAGCCTCTTGATTCGCCTCGTCAGATGTTCAAAGATAAAATGAGGCAGCCCACACGCCAGCGTAGAGCTCACAGCCTTGCAGTCAGTTTTGAATTTAGATTTGAATTGTGATATCAATGTCATGGTGGCACATGCTTTGAGAAAGTACTTACAGAGAATAATTGAAAGATTCAGTGTGAAGCTTCTGAAAGCCATAATTTAAAGTTCCAGCAGCCTCCATATTACTCTCCCCATTAAAATTTAAAGTGACAGAAGCCCAATTATGTATGATTATTTTCTTAAATAAAATCATATTTCTACCCCGAGTGAAAGATTCATTGCTGCCCACTAATCTCTGTCAGGAGAACCAATCTCGGTGGCATCCCGGGTCTGTGGTGGAGACCATTCGCTTTATCCTGGGGACAATGGAGCGGCACCAGGGGAAAGCAAAGCTGGAAGGTCTCCGCGGAGGAGCGGCTCACTCGCGGGAGGCTGATTTGCATGATAATCACCATTATGGATCCTCTGTGGTGCCAGCCTCCACACTTAACCAAATGCGGCACAACTCTAATAGCAGCAGAGCAGCCCGAGCAGGGCTGTGGCACATATTTTACAAAGCCTGTTCGTTAGGAGGAGCCACTGAGGAATGGGGACCTGATGCCATGCTAGGGATGGTTGAAAGACAGGTAGTTTTCCCTCTTGTTTTATCACAAAGGAATCTGTTTACTGGGAAGCAGCTGTGTCACGCTGGGACTGCTGCGGCCATTGAAACTCTGGCGCGAAAAGAGATCAGTGGAAACTTTGCACAGCCTTTCTGGCATACAAGTGCATAGGGCAAGTCAAGTGTCCACCACCATTGTTTGTGAAAAGCTTTACTACTTAGAGTCCTTGGGGGCAAAGGAGCATGAAATCGACTAATGTCTTGACTCACATGTCAAATGATACCACACGTGTGTGTGTATGTTTATATATATGAATGCTAATGTAAGCAATGACTTATAAATAATAATCAACATAATTTCTCAAAAGTTTCACATTTGATAAAATATTTACAAGTAGGTCATGGTTCTGCTAAGTTTTGCCATGAATTTACCGTGGCCAGCCCTTGGCAGTTTGCAACTTTACTTTTTGGGTTCTGGATTTAGCTTTAGGATCTATCTACCTTTGTACAGAACTGACTCCATGATAGGAACTCAGCTTCTCCTCTTTCTCTTTTGTTGATTTCTCAACGAGAGGCATTCATGTTCGCTTGTGTCCATGGTTGTATCACTCTGTTTTGACTCTGGATGTCCATTGTTCAGACTTTTCCATTTTCATCTTTGACACTTTGTTGGCCTCTTCTTTACAAACAGACAGATGAGCAGCCCAACCAAAAGCTCCTTTCTTAAATTTCCTGCTCTCAGGATTATTTCCTTTTAAGTAGAAACTTGTCTTTCAGGCCACTGTCTTCTTCCCATTTACTCTAGCTTTTTGCGATCTGGCTGCGGCCACCCCTGGTGTTGCAAGGCAACTCTCTCAGGCACACTGTATTCTCACTTCATGGATCACTTTTATTACTGCACCCCAGAGGGGGACTTAACTACATGGTAAATTTTGGGTGATTTGTGGGTCAGCTCAGCTTAATGTCATACTGCTTCTTTTGGAGAAGGGTGTCCTCTAAGTGCACATATTTTCCCTTCCAAAGGCTAGAGGGCCACCCAGCTGTCACTCTCCTGGCTTACAGGGATGGCACAGTTTGGTACTACAGTCAGCTGGATGTATTTTGGCTTCCATACTAGGCTACTTCCCCTCTCCTGGCTTTACTCAGTGATAGAGGTTATAGTCTGCTCTCCTGTCTGTTTTATTTTTGAGTTATTTCTTAACTTTTTACAACCCACATGTGAATGTGTGTGTGTGTGTGTGTGTGTGTGTCCGAGGCAGAGACATCACAGTGCATGGCTGTGGTGCAGCAAAGCTGTTTAGTTATGATGGCCAGGAAGAAGAGCAGGGGAGCAGTGCTAGAAAGAAAAAGGTGAGGGACCAGACAGATGCCAAGGCCACGCCTCCGTGACCCAGACACACTCAGAAAGTGCTCCACTAATCCCCGGGCTGGATCTCACAATCAATCAAATTGACACTCCATGTTAGCTGCCACGCAGAATAGTTGGATTGAGTTGCACTTTTTGGAGGAGAGGTTTATACTTTTATGCCTCATATAGCATAGCTACGGGAGATGAGTTTTTTCCAGGTGTCCAAGACTACAAGCCTATCCCTCAAGAGGGTCCTCTAAAAACTATCTCCTTCTACAACTTGGCTATACCACCAGGAAGCAGGTGACCTTCTGAGAGTCTAGCCAGATGACAAGAGATCTTCAGTGTGGCCCCACTTCCTCTTCCACCATGTGTATCAGGCCTAAAAAAAGAGTAGGGCTGCCCTTTACCTGGATCGCACTGCTTGCATCTCCAGGCTGCTCCCCTGGCAGAGGCACATGGCAGCTGTGTGCCAAGCCTGCCTGCAGAAAAGTGAAAATCAGTGTGATGTAACTTGGCAGAGCAGTAAATTTCTGACTTCTTTAGCCACCCCTTGCAAAGCCTGTAGGACTCATTTGGAATACTTGTAGTATTGTGATAACCAACACAGGAAAACCTTGTGTATTGTGGATCTGGCTGTGGGATCACCGGAAACTGCTACAGATATGTGCTTGACTGCCACATTTTGTACAGTTTTTCCCACTCAGGATGCACAGGGAACCATGTCTGTGTTAGACACAAGCGCAGCATGGAGAACAAAGATGACCACATTAGATGGGAAGGAATTATCACATAATGTGCACATTTATGCAGCGCTGTGGAAGGGGCCAGGCAGTCTGGCTGTGTGAGATCATTTCACTGCTCACCAAAGAGATCTGAAATGGACTTTTAATTATGATTGCCGATTTGCTATGGCTCTATTGCTTAATATGAGCATCTGATTAGGTTAATTTTCTTTAATTGATGAGTAGAGCACTTAAATTTGTAGGGCTGAATTTGTTGTTATGTACTGGCCATTTTCTATTCTGACTCTTTGCTGGAGTACAGATTGCAGGCATTTCTTATTTGTTGCACTTCTGAGGTCACGGCTCTTCCTTCCTTCACCTTTGTGTGGCTTTTTAGATTTGCTAATGGAGATAGAGCAGGGCTAAGTGACTGTTAAACTCTTCCCCATATACAGTAAAAGCCATTAACATAACATGAACCTCACTAAATTTGGAATTTATGAAAATGAGGGCAGAGCCTGGGTTAAAGTTTATTTTTGCATTGTCTTGGAAGTCAAGTTTGCTGAGCTAATAAACAGTATAAATAAAATTGCAGGGACTGGCACTACTCTTTTAAGAAGCAGACTTTTGAAGCACTTTAGAGACGGGTCTCCCATGAGGGGTAATGAAGTAGAGAGTCAGAACAAAGCTTTAGGCCACTCTCTGGCTACCTGACCTTAGCTCTTCTGAGTATTTCCCCCCCATCTGTAAAACAGAGACAGTTACCTACTATGCGGGGTTACTCTGAAGGTAGATTTGGTGTATAGGAAATGTTTGGTGTGAAGCACTTACTGTATCAATGGCAAGTTATTATTTCCTACCTAAAATAAGTGGTAAGCTGACTTCAAATATTTATTATTTTTTTCACTAAGGCAAGGTTCTTTAGAGTTTGTTGATCTCATCTGAAATATTGATTTTTATTATTATTAGGTTAGAGGGAAAATCTAGCAGTTTGTGGTGGTTATAAAGAGACGGGGCTTTGGAGCCAGGCCAACTCAGATTTGGAAGTAGTTGGGTTGCTTATTAGCTATGTGGTCCTGGGTGAGTACTGGAACATCGCTTAAGTTTTGCCTTCTAGTTGCAGAAGAAAGATTGATCTTATTTTAGTTTGTTTATGCTTCTATAACAAAGTACCTGAAACTGGATAATTTATAGAGAACAAAGATTTATTTCTCACAGTTTTGGAGTCTGGGATGTCCAAGATCCACATGCCAGCATCTGGTGAGAGCAATCTTGCCTCATTCTCACATGATGGAAGATAAAACAGGAGGTGTGGAGGGTTGAGGAGCACAGAGGCAGAGCTGGGGGTCCCCCTCATGAGCATGAACTCCCTATGGTTAAGTTACCTTTTAAATATCCTGCATCTTATCACAGTTACGGTGGTGATTAAATGTCAACAGGAAGTTTGGGCGGAACAAAGTGTTCAAACCACAGCAGTGTCTGCTCCGGGACTTTGCCCGTGAGGACAAGTGGAACAGTCTGTGTAAGTGCAGTATTCAGTGTGGTGACTTCCAAGAAGTAAACTCTCATGCTTCTAGTATTGCTATTATGATCATTTAGATTTGGCATTCATTCAGAACTCTCTTTTTCCGTTTACCTGCATTAATGAATTTTACTCCAGATGTAATCTTCATTCTTGGAGAGAATTTTAAGTACATGAGTGGGAAATTTATAAAGGAGTAAACATGGCTAAATCAATTCATGAAAGGAGGAAGAATAATATTTTAAAAGTAAGGCACAAGGGCTTTATCTTAGAAAATTACTCCATAGTGAATTTTATGTGTGATATTCTGTCCTTTATCAAAGGTTTTCATATTAAGTAGAAAGGAATAGAACTTTATATGTAATTAATAAAAAGTGGGACCACTCCTCACATTTGTTGGGAGAAAAGAAATGGCAAGTCCTGATGGAACTTTATTTTTTAAAAATTTTTCCCAGGGCTAGGGATTTAGCTCAGCGGCATAAGCGCCTGCCTTGCAAGCAGGCAGTTGGGAGTTCGATCCCTGGTACTGATAAAAACAAAAAAGACAAAAAAATTTTTTTTCCTTATGTTTCAGAATCTGTGTGGAGGAGCAGCACAAACAACATAACGTGCTCCCTGGAACCTGTAACCTAAAGTGATGGCCTTAGTGATGGCCATGAGCAATTTGTAGAATCCATCACCTCAATAAACCAGACTCAGATGAATGACTGGCAAATGGATGCCACTGGTGGTAAAATAATAACAGCCAGGTGTGTGTGTGTGTTTATTAAGTGCTCTTAATAGGAGAAATGTATTCTACTGAGAACTCTCATTTGCGAGGTACCATCTTCCTTTGCAAAAGTAGAAAAACTATGTTTCTTGATATTCTTTGCTATTATAATCAAGTTTACAATCAAAAAGCATTTTACACAACTCCAGGTTTTTCAAATAGCCCAAACAATATATAGACAAGTTAACTGAACAGAGAATTCTCAAAAGAAGAAATAAAAACCGTCAATGAATATATGAAAGACTCCAGCTAGTTTAGCCATGAGGGAAATGCAAATTAAAACTACACTGAGATCCTACTTCACCCCAGTCAGAACTAGTATCGTAAAGAATACAAAAAAACAACAAATACTTGTGAGGATGAAGGGAGAAGGGAAATTTCCTACAGTGCTGGTGGAAATGTAAGCTCGTGCAACCATTACAGAAATTAGTGTGGAGAGTCCTCAAAAAACTGAAAATAGGTATAGTATACTTTGACCGGATCACACCGCCGCTCAGTATATTCCTGAAAGACTTAAAGACAGCATATTATAGTGGTATTTGCATACCCCTGTGTATAAAGGCACAATTCACAATATCCACGCTGTGGAAACAGTCTAGATGCCCATCACAGATTAATGGATAAAAGAAACACGACACAGTTGTACTGTAGAGTACTATTTAGGCATAAAGAAGAAAAAATCATGTTGTTTGCAGACAAATGGGTGGACATGGAGATCATCATGTTAAGTGAAATAAGCCAGTCTCAGAAAGGTTAAAAATTGTGTACTTTCTCTGATATTAAAAACTCTAAAAATAAATAAAAATAAAAAGCAAAGGAGACAGGATGAAAACTAGTCTTCTGCAGATGGGGAAAGGGTTGGGGAGGGAGAAAGAATGGTGGACTGGGTCACGGGGATGAGAATAATTAGAAAAAGTTATAAGCGCACACAAATATACCATAAGGAATCTCATCACTCTGCACCGCTACAGTGCAGCTGTAAGACTGCTCAGAGGTCGGTTTCTTGTAGTATTATGTGAATCATTTAAAAGTTAAGTCAGTTCAATAAGTTGTTGTGGGAAAATTCCCAAGCCAAGCCAAACCCCACTGATCTGAAAGGAAGACTCTTCGCACCAAGGAGATCAGAAGGCAGCATTTAATCTTTGCACCAGCGGACGGTTGGATTTCATGCCAGTGGACTGTTGTGGGATAATTCCTCAAAAGGCAACAGTGCTAAATTTAGAAAGGGTTTGGTTTATATAGAATTTAGAGGTGGGAGGCACAAAGCAAGTAAAAAAACATTGGTTACATACATTGATTCATATATTGACAGGCAGGCTAGTCTTGAAACAAAGGAATTGTTTATCATAATATAGAAATACTCTGGGATCAAAGTCAATTGAATTCAGTAGAAACAGCACAACAGGAACTTGATCAGAGACCTCTAATTGATCATGAAACATCTGTAAGTTCGCTATCTTATAAATGGGCTCCTACATTATAACTGTGCCCCAACATTGTGACTACCAGTGTTTCCATATATGGGTTTTTGTGTTCACAAGTTTGCAAGTCAGACAGATTCTTCTGTCAGACCATCTTGTTGAAGGTTTGGATAAGAAAAAGGGCTCCCTGTAACATACACCATTACAATGAGTTAGATCAGATCAGAGCACTGTTGGAAGTACTGAGTGGTTGGTTGTATAGTGTGGCATTATTTGTCTATATCTGTAATGCCAGCAATATCAGGAGTAATTGTTAATATTTATTGAGTGTCTACCATATGCAGGCACTTTTCCAAGAAGCTGAGGCTATAATAGGAACAATAACAAGAAAGACATGGTTTGATGTTGCTAATGACAACTCTATTTAGTAGGAATAGGAAAAACATTTTTTTCTAGAGTTTAAATGTTTCATGCAAGGTTAGGCAACTGTAAAATGGCCAAATGGAATTATAGTGCAATATGTGCAAACACAGACTAACCTGTACCCTGGTTAGGAGACACCAGAGCATAATAGCTTAAGCTAGATAGAAGGAGTTCCTTGACACAGTAGAAGCTGTTCCTTGAATCAGCTCCAGATTGGTTAGGTTTATATTTTTAGCTAAGGAAGGAATAAAACTTCTTAATCCTTTGCTGCCCCTGGATATTGGCCTCATTCAGTATGAATGCTTAAGTACTCTGTCTAAGCATTTCTTGAAAGCTGACCTCTTAACTACTATCTCAACCCACCAGCCATACCTAGCTTCCAGGGAGACCTCAAAATAGAGTACACCTTAAAACTAAGGGGCTGTGAAGGAAGAAGGGGGAGTTGGCAGTCTCTCTGCCACACGTTAATATAAGCTTTATTTCAAAGCACAGCTCTAGCCATAGACTTGTCCAAGTAACAGATGATCTTATGACTTTAAGATATGCCTAAATCTATTATCCTTTTCTTTTCAAGTAGTATCATATCAAGGTTATGTATATATGTATCTAGTGTGTATGATATCTTTAAATATCCAAAATATGTGAGATATCATGAATATTACATGATCCTACAGTCAACTCTGGCCATCTGCAAGTACTGATGCAAAATTTCACACTAGAAGTCCACTGGCTTTACTCCTTGGCAGAAAGTCTTGTGAAATCCCCAGGATTTGTCTTCCTTCATTCTCACTCTTAAAAAGGTCTCAGATTCAAAGATCCATGTTATAAGGAATGTGTTCTCAGAGAAATATCTTCATAGAAATAAAATTTATCTAGGGTTTTGCCTGTATTCAATGCATGAATCCTAAGCAACTCTGATACAGAACTTTAGTGTCTCAGAATTCTTCTTGGTCTATTCTGATAAAGCGTAGACATTTATTTAGTATTTACTATAGAAAAAGCAGTTCATGCACATTTATTGAGACAACCTTAGATATTAGTTGTACTGAGATGAATTCTAAGATCCTTGCCTAGGTGTTTCTTGGGACCACAGAAACTTGTAGGAGATAAGCACAGGGTGGGAGACACACAAACACACACACAGACACACAGACACACACACACACACACACACACACACACACACACGTATTCTCACACTATGTGGGTTCCCTTCCCCCAATTTAAGGAATCTCTGATGAGTTTCTATATCTATGTGGAGCTGCTGGAACACGGGGTCCCTTTGCCCTGTGCTCAGCTGTTTAGATCTTACTTCACTGGGGTTAAGAGGAGGCAGAAAAAAATAAAGCAGATATATCTGTATCTCTCTCTCTCTCTCTCTCTCTCTCTCTCTCTCTCTCTCTATATATATATATATATATATATATATTTCATATGTTTCTATATCCATCTATCTCTCATCTATTTATCTATCTATCTACCATCTATATCTATCTATCTATCTATCTATCTATCTATCATCTATCTATCTACCTATCTTAATCAGGTCTTATCTGGCGAAGAAGTATGTGTGTGTGTGTGTGTGTGTGTGTGTGTGTGTGTGTGTGTCTTGGGTAAGGGTATCTTCTAAGTGAGAGGCTGTTCCAGACCAGTTTTATCACACTGGCCAGGTGGGTGTAGAAACAAACAACTAAAGAAAATAAGAACTCTAGAAGAGAAAACTTCAGAGAGATCACAGGCCGCAGAAGTTAGGATTTTAATCTTCTCCCTTAATACCCTATAGCAATATTTCCCCTGCTGTCAAGAGATTTAGTTGAGTTGGTAATTGATTCAGGGATCTTGGGGCTGGGCTATTTGGGGGCAGGTGGAGGGGCAGTGGAAGGATAGGATGGGGATAGAAATTTTCTGTTCTTGTGCTTTGGATCACCAAAATACTCTAGAGATACACCAGGTCCTCCAGAGCCATTACCGCAAGTACGAGATGTGAGATGTGGCCTTTAGCTCAGTGTACCTGAAGAGCTCTAGCATACAAAACATTTAGCAAAACCCAAGGACCAAGATGTGCGTTACTGATTATTCCAGAGGACTTCCGATTAAGGATAAAGCAGTGTAGATTTGTTTCTTGGGAAAGCTTCTTAGATTGTATCAGGAGTAGAGTGCCAAAGGGTGAAAAGGAGCTAATTAAGAAGGCAGAGACAGGCTGTGAATGAAGGTTCAGAGTGGCCTCAGAGATTGGTAAACCTATGTGATTGAGGCAGACTTCATGTAATACAGTGGAGCAGGAAAGTAGTAGACTTTAAAACTCAGGTTAGGGTAAAGCTGTAATAATATTTATCTCCAAAATTATATATATATATCCCAAAATTACAGTGTTATAATTTGCCTAGGCTGTGGAGGGGGAGAATTTGTTTAAAGTATCTTAGCAACACAGATTCCCAGGGAAAAAGAGGAAGCCAAGGTTAGGTGTATCAGATTGGGAATCCAGCTTCACTAAGGTTGAGCTGCAGTCCAGTCTTCAGTTATTCAGAGTGTGTGATGATTTGGGATTGACAGCTGAGGAAATCCAGTGCAGTGCGAGGTGTGGCCAACTGGATGATAGCAGGCAGGTAAGGTTCAGAGTCAGGAGTGGTGGTGTCAGGGTAGTGGGCAGCCTCATCACAGCTGGATGGGGTCCTGGACTAAAACCAAGGGAAGGGTTTTTATCAGGATCAAGTAGATTTAAATTCAAGGCAAAACACAAAGCACCACAAAACAGAGTACTCGGAGGGATGGTTCAGGGAGACAGTAGCCCTTGAGCATGAGAATGGGTAATGTTTCTTTACAAGATGTTCATCTTTCCTGGCCCAAGTTGGTATCACTGATGTCAATGGGTGCAACTGGGAAGCCCAAGGTGGGACCTACCTGGACGCTTCTGTGCTGTTTTCATGGGGCCTTTGCCACCATAACTGAGGTGGGAAGTATCTGTCTGGACCCCTGGCTGCTCAAGTGGCGCCTCTGTTGAATAGCATGTGTGCTTGATTGATGGGTGGCTTCACAACCAGCCTCTCTGACTGTCAGTGCTTGCTTCTCAGGTACCCATGTGGTGCCACACAGTAGGGAGCAGTGGGGACTTTACTTACACAGGGCTGGGGCGCGGAATCTCAAGAAAGGCATTATTTTTATTTATCATGATGGAGAAAGAAAATGAAGAATTCCTACCTGGGTAGGGAAAATCTCTCTTCAAAGTACATGAATGTGTGGTATTTCTGATTTTATTAAGTTTGCATCTGCATGGGGTGTGGGGTGGGTTTCAAAATAATTTTTTGAAGCAGAGAAAGAAAACTTTCACTAACATTATCACCATAAATGGCCCATGTTGTGTTTTAAAACATTCAACTAAATACATTTCAGTGATTGGGAAAAGGCCAACTTTTGTACTTCTAAAAAGTTGTTCGTAGAAAGGTGTGGATTAATAATTGGTTTCTGTTTTGTTCACAGATGTACTGGGGCAGACACCCCTTGAATATCTACTTCAAATCACCTTTCATGTTTTATTATTGGAAATAGACTCATTTGAGGATTACATTATTATGTTTTGGAAAAAATGGAAATGAATCAAGACATGGAGAATGCCAGCCTGGTTCATGGTTCCACCTGTTCACCCAGGATGTCTTCAAATACTTGTGTTTCAGCAACCAGAAATCAGCAAAGATTCAACCTATCCTTTTTGCCTCAGTTACTCCTTAAATCAGTGCCACCCCTCCAAATGAATGTGAATTGAAACATGCATTGCTTTTCATTTGAGTGCTTACTGTGTGTGAGCCAGTGCAAAAAATAGGAGAGAGAAAATGAGGGAGACAAATGCACATGGAGCCTGCTTTTAATGAATTTGCTATTAGTTTCAGCACGCATATTGTGTTCTTTTGTTTTTAATTAGGTGTGTCCCTATGACAAGAGAGCAGTGAATGGAAAAGTGTGCTCTGTAATTATTGTAAGCCCCATTAATGAAAAACAAAATAAAGTACAACAACAATAACAACAACAAAACTCTAATGTGAAAACCTCGGGACATTTCAATTCATTTCTTTGTTGTTGTTCTTTAAGTTCTAAGAGATATGACCCATTTTATTTTGTATTACTTTTGTGGTGCTGAGATAGGACCCATTTTATTGATTACATAAATATTCTGCAGGTTTTAGATACATTAATACAACATAGTTTGAGTTAATTTGAATTAAATTCTAGTGTTTTTCCTTTGGGTATAGCTTGTATGTTGGAAAATATATTGATTGTATACTTCTTGGGGTTAGGAAGGTGAATTACACCTGCTATCTTTATGGGCATCTGCCTTCCCTGCCCCAGCACCCACTATTCTGAGTGGGTGACTACCAAAAGGAGGGAGATAGATCTTGTTCAATCTTGGGGGTGACATTAATGGGCCCAATATTGCTAAGAGAGGGGGTAGAGCACAGTTGGGCACTGATTCTATATGAAATTTGACTAAATATTTTTTTCAGTATTCATTGCATGATTCCTTTTATTCCATAGGTTGAGTGACTCCACAGTTTTTCTAAAAAATTGTTTCTGAGCTGAGAATAAGTTTAAGTCATGATTTTTCCAGTGTTATGACATTGATTTGACTGAAGCCACTAGACATTTTATGTAGTGTCTGTGACACATTTTAGTATGTATGAGCCAATAATAGACAAGTCTTTGTCTTGAGTAGTGTCCATCTGAATTGAAAATGAACCAGCTTTTCTTTTTTAACATCATCAACAGACTTCTTAATTAAGCTGCCAATACACACTGCCAATAACGCTGTGTGCTGTTTGAGAAATGAATAGCGTCAGTGCCGTTTCCATCTTATCAAATAAACAATGCTGCTGGGATAGCATGGATTTTAAGTGTTCTTTGAATGGCACTGCAGATCGCACCCTACATCATTTGATGAGCTTTTTCATACCACCTCTTTTGACTCAATTTGTGATTTTTGTTTTTTAGTAAGGAATAGCTCTAATCTGACCAATAACTTTGGTTATCTGATTCAACCTTAATAGAACAAATCACCCCACCATCAAACTCCTGGTCATGCTATTTGTATGCATGTCATTTCGGGTTGGTGAGAAGTAGCTTCCAGGAACTATTAATGATCCACTGGTGTTATACTAAATTGTGGGTGTGTATTGTGTAAGCATTTGGTGGTCATGAAGTACTTTTTTTACTTTTATTTCTTAAGGCTCTGTAGAAGAAGTGCGACTTAGCACTTTCACTGGTTGGTAGTTTACAGTCAGTCTACTGAGAAGTCCAAATAACTGGAATTTTTAATACATTTGAGTTTCCTGGTCCCCTTAAACTGTGTCTTGGGATTAGTAGTGCTGGCTGATTCAGCCCTGTTACCAGTGTCCACTCTGCTGCTACTGGTCTTGGCCTCCCTCTCTACCCTGGGCAGGCCCTTCAATGATATCTCCCCTGTGGCTCATCTGTCAGTAGCATAATAATCAGTCTGTTTACTGAGTGCTTATCCTGTGCCCAGGGCTGAGCTGAGTGCTTCAATATGTTCTCTCACTGAGTTACCGCATTGAACCTCACAGCATCCATGCAGGGAGGGTGCCATCCACCATGGAAGCGTCTTGCTTACCTTATGGAATCCATATCCAGATCTCTCAGGCTCCAAAGGCTGATTGACGGCTGCATCCTAGGAGTAATTCCCAGTTCCTAGTGTGTGTGTGTGTGTGTGTGTGTGTGTGTGTGTGTGTGTAGGGGGGTCAGCTCCAATCTGGATAAAGTCCAGATTCATTGTATTTAATATTCTTGCAGAACACACTGTCTAAAGGATAAAACCCAGCAAATCATAGTTGTTTTGAGAATCAAGGGAAGGCAGAGGAATTGGGAGAAAGCAAAGTTGGAAACAAACCAATTTGAGTCAAACTTTTAGTCTTTACCTCATATAATGCATTTTTTTAAACTTTCTTTTTATAACATGGTCTGACACCATGTGATAAATCAAAGTCTGATGTAACTGACCCAGAATTGATCCCCAAATGTCTTTTGGGGGAGCATGCTTTCACTCTGGTTGTTGATTCTGAGGAATAATTGCCACCCTGCAAAGGTAATTACATATGCCATTGTTTATACACATAATAGACTCCGACTGCATGTTCTGCACAGAAGGGGAGAGCACCCTGCTTGCACATCAGGCCCTGTGTGTGCTATGGTTTGTATCACAGTGCCACAAATAGCATTTGAACTGCTGTCTGTGACTGCTGATTTCCATGTGCACGCATGTCTGTTCGTGTGTGAGTGTGTTTACGAGTGAGAAGGGTACGGATCATGGAAGGCCATTTGTTGAGCTGAAATGGCAGTACTTTGCTTTCGCCTAATTTTTTCATTTACCAAAACATCTTCTGAATCTGAGTCACTTAGCTTGGTCTGGTAGAGAGACTGTTTCCTCCCTGCTTGCCATATGCTTATTAATGAGTCCTCATATTTCTCTCCATCAAGGGCTGTTTACTTTGTGGAAATGCATGGTGAGAATCCTTTTTTGCCTCCTCCTCTCGGATGCCTGGTTTTACACACCTCCTCTTTAAGACACCAAGTGATCAGCCAGTGCCTCTCCTCCTGTACTTTCTAGCAAACATAATGTAATCAGAGTCACAAATGACCAAAACAAGCGCTTCATGCCTGTTTTCTTTAACCGTAAGATACTGATGGTCCTAAGTAAACACAGCAAAAAGGCTATTCTGTAGTAATCTAACCTTAGCAACCTGTAGTTTTTTTTTCTTAAAGCCTTAGAAAACCCAATGTCATGACTTTTTAGTGTGACACAATGAAAGAAATACATACGTATTCCAATATGGAACTGAGCATTGTTTGAGGCCGAAGCAATTCATCGTGGGCTGCTCTGTGCCGCAGCGTCCTGCAAATTGCATGACCTGCTTGTTAGGCTTGACAACAGTGTTTTACCTAACAAAAGCCTCTGCATCGCCGAGCAGCAGTGGAATGTCAGAGCCAGCCGGTTTCACACACAGATGTGCACCATAATAGCCTCTAAGAAGACGCATGTGGCGGGAGCAGAGGGTGGGGGCTGGGGCTGGGAGTGGCGCGGTGCACGCGGGCTGGGGGCTGGCGGCGGGAGGGGGAGGCCCACAGTTAGCAGTAGGGACATGGCCCCGCTGACCACATTTAATCAGCCCTCTGTAAACAATTCAACATTTTCATTGTTCTCTAAAAACTAATAAAGAGAAACAAGCACTTTTCATTCATCTTGAAGTAATTTTCTGTCAGGTTGGAGCCCCTCGCGGCCTCCAGCTTGTGCAATGCTAGCTGTGTGATACAACAACGATCGCAATTTATACAAACTCTGGTCATTCACATGTCAGTTAGTGTTCACCAAGCCGGCATCTGAAATTGTGCAGTTAACGAGTTTTACAACATTTCTATCAAGAGAAACTGTTTAGCATAACTGACTCTTAAGGAGTTATTATACCTCTAAAAATCCATTTTAAGGGGCATTATTTAAATAAAATAGAAAAACGGTTCACTGCCTTTTAAAGGGGCTACAAAAAAAGTCCATCAGCTCCAGCGCAGTAATCCTCAGCTTAAAGCACTCTTGAGAGTACTTCTGGGAATTGTCAGCATAATGAAATGTTTTGTGAAATGTCCAGATAGATTCCTCTCCTCAACAATTTTACTGCACCATATTTATTTTCCTTCCAGTTTTTAAAAAAGTGAATTACTTTTGGAGAGGATGACTCTGCGTTGTATAGATTAACTGAACACATTATTGCCAAGGTGGTGGCAGCCCCAGAGGTGCCGTTTGGGGTGTCATCTATAGGCATCCGCAGAGAGGAGCAAAGAGAAAGTGCTCCCTCCACTCGGCACTTGATTCCAAAAGGTTAATCAGACAGCATTCTACAGAATTTAGCGTTTTTTCTGTGCTACCTATTTCTCAAACATTTAAACACCTCTGTACACAATGGCGCCTGCAAGTAGTTTCTTTAAACTTCACAAGCAGATGCTGTTTTCTTATCCTCAGTAAATAAATGCAAGAAGCCCCCTACACGTGTGCACAGACACACGCAAAATAATGCATGTCCTTTAAATCTGGACCATTTTAATGGGAAATGCTATGGAACATTTTACTTAAAGAAGAGCAGATTCCTCACGTTGACTGGGACGCTCAATGACCCAAAGCAATGCCTGGCTAGAGCCTATCGTGGTGGCCTAGTACAGTACAGCATCAGATTCATTTAACATATTCTCTTATACTATCTTGCCAGAGTAGAAGTCCGCAATTGTCATAGAAATAGCTTACTGGTTCTTTCTAAGATGAGCAGGACTGTAACTAGAGGTATTTCGTACCCTTTGGAGATACATCTAACACTTTCGTTTTGCTACAAATGGCTCCCTAATTTCTGAGAGTGATGTTTGTGCATGCAGCATTAATTTTCTAAGGGAGATGGGCAGGTGTGCTTGTGCCTGCTAGCTCTATCTGCCTGTAAGAAGCACAGTAACATCCATGAACCAAACACAATTTGACGCAATTCACGGCTTTATTACCTCCTACAGAATGGCATTATTTCCTGCTGGTACACTAATGTTTCTAGCATGATACTGTCATTCCTGGAAATTTTATCTTCTGAAGTTCAGATGTTGAGGAATGAATTTTAAAATTTTCTTATGTGCCTTAGATTTGGGACAAATGCAATTTAGTCCATGATCTGCTTTTTTTTTTTCTTAGTTGTTTTCCATTAGGAAAAACTTTAAAAATTTAGTGGCACTTCCTACTCAGATAATGAGCAAAGATCGTGTCTGAATACTCTCACCTCTCTCTTTTTCTCTTTCTCTCTCTGTCTCTTAACCAAAGAAATTTCTTCTAATCTATTTCTAGTTTTGCAAATAATGTTTATGTGACTTATGCCAGACTTCACTATTTTTTCTCCTGATGTAAAATCCAGAGATGTTGATCAAAATTCTATTTCAATGAATGCAACTTGAACGTATTGGCATGGTAGATCTTTCCAAATACCCCAACACACAGAACAGGATAAGACAGAATGTATTAGTTTCTTATTGCTGTCATAACAAATCATGTTTAAAACAACACAATTTAGTGGTTTAAAACAACACAAATGCACTATCTTACAGTTCAGTAGTTCAGAAGTCTCCCTGGCTTAAACTACTGGTCAACAGAGTTGCATTTTCCTCAGGCTGTAAGCAAGAATTCCCTTCCTGCCTTCCTTGCTTTTAGAGGCTACCAGCCAGTGGCTGCTGACTAGTGGCCTCTTTGTTCACATCAACACTTGCAGTGACAGAGCAAGTCCTTCTCACAGGGCATCTGTCTTACCCTCTTCTGTCTCTCCCTCTGAATCCAGTTAGACAGTGATCCTGATTTTTAAGGACTTACATGATTAAATTGACCAAGGAATCTAGAATAATCACTCCATATGAAGGCCCAGCCCTTAAATCATATTTGCAAGTATCTTTGGCCACCCAAGATACCGTATTCACAGGTTCTGGGACTTTGGATGTGGACATCTTTGGAGGACCACCTGTCATCTCTCCACAGAGCCTCTGAGAGGTCTTCTCAATACCAATGTTTGTAGGATTAATAATCCTACAAGCCCAATAATCTCCAAACATTAACAATCATGCACAAACATAGTTTAAAATTTTAGACTGTTCACTCTGATCTGTGTAAATTTCTTTCTAAATTATGCTATTACCTTTTTGTTGTTGTTGTTGTTGTTTATAGTACTGAGGATCGAATCCTGAACTTTCACAGTGACCTATATTGGCAGCCTCTTCTATATTTTTTATATGGAGACAGAGTCTTACTAAGTTTCTAGGCTGTGTAGACTGGGTTCACTCTTGTAGTTCTTCCGACAACCTCCCATAATGTGGGAATTACAAGAACAAATCTTCATCTCTTTTTAGTACATATAAAGGAATATAAACCAATCTTCTAGTAGTTTTTTATTTTTGCACCTTACGCATCATCTTATGCTGCCCTTAGTGTATGATGAGCACTTTGTTTTGGAGAAGGAGAAAGAACGAAGTCAGGGTTAACCTGTGTAAATAGAGCTCTTCATTCTTTGAGACATCCAACGCTTCAAGATGAGGACTAGAGTGTAAAAGTTTTCCAGTAACCCCTGGTATTTTCTGAAAGCAAGGAAAAAGGGTACTTTTTTTTTTTTTTTTTGCATACATCCTTATCACCATTTGTAGTTTCAGGGTGTAACACACCCAAACTTTCCTGAAAGTGGTAAGTTATGGACGTGTAAGACAAATGTTATTTTATGAAAAACTACAAAGAGTTTTTCAGAAAACTCCCAAACATGAGTTAGCTATTTGCCTACACTAAGGTCATCTCTCATCAGAATGGCTGTTTCTGTCACTTCACTTGAAAAACCCCAGAAACAAATAACCCAATGACCCTTTAAAACCCCAGAAGAAAGAGCTGCGTGAAACTGAGCGGAGAGGGAAAGGCATGCTGCTAATTCACTCTAAATCACAATTTTCCCCTCTAACAAACATCTACATGACATCAGCCACTCTCCAGCTCCTTGCCATGTAGGCTTCTTGCACTGTAGAAAAACCAGCAACCGTAACACAAGCTGATGCTAAAGTCTCCTTGAGTTACATTTTGGGATGTTTTAGGAATAGTCACTCTCAAAAAATGGTTTCTTGCTAAGACATGCTGACACACCTCTGAAATCAAAAAGAGCTTTCAGTGGGGGAATAAATGTAGGCTGCCACAAAAATGTGTATCAATTACAAAATAAGTCAATGAGTGTTTGCCAACTGCCATCGGGATCCCGCAGGCAGCCTGGGCAGTGTATTTTTATTCTATTTGCCCCAGGCCACTTTCATTCACTTCCTGAAAGGTGGACAGCCAGGCTTCTCAAATCCTTCACTGATAGTTTCCATCAATGATCTCAAAATGGAACGGATAACACACCAGTGACTACTGTACAAAGATGCTTAACACTACTGCCGAATTCCCCCACTGCAACCCTATCCAGGGATTAGCAACAATAGGGAATCTGTTTTATTTGCATTTAATTCGTACCTTCACACTATTATCTCCTATGTTTTAGTTTCAGGAAATGTGGTCTCAGGCTATTATAACCACATTTCATGCTGCTGTTGCACTGTTATTTGATCTCTCTGGTCGGAAATGCCTTAGTGAAAAAATAAAGCTAGCATACTTTATTTTAATTATGCCAGTGCAGTGTCTAAATAAAAAATGTGCTTTATATTTAATGTGGAGCACAGATTAACAGTTTTATGGGACATAAAATCTATCTATATCATTTTCTGTTTCCACATCAGTTATATATCTTTTTTTCTGTGGAACAAATGCCTTTGGTCTGAATAGGAGAAAGCAGAGCAACGAAGTTGCAATCACATGGGCAGTAAATAACATCTTAATTGGTTTGGAATGCTGGAGTTTGATTTTTTCTCCGCCTGGCTTTTATTTATTGATCTCTATAGCTTATTTATCTTTCTAGTGATTTGTACAAGTCTATCTCCTTTCCTCAATGAGCCTATGCTGGCTTTATGTTGCAAATCCCACCTGGGGAAATGGTGTGGTGGAGAACGGCAGTTGCTCCCGATAAAACCATTATTTAAAAGCTTTTGGAGAGGTAAAGGGTAACTTTTCAGTGTTTATACTTTGTCTTCTGGAAAAACAAGAAGAAAAGAAGAAATGTAGCTATTAGGAAGTTGCCACCTACTATATATCGCAACCATTCTTTACTATCCTCCTGTTTGGCAGCAATAAGAAAACAAAGAAGGATTTAAGGTTCACTGGGAAATGTCTTTTAAATGCTCCTGTATATGATTTAGCACCTACTGAAGAAGAGAGACAGAAATGGATTGTGTGTATCTAATACCTCATATGTAAACCTTGGCTTTTCTTCTGTACCCATTTCTAAAGCTTCATTCCTAATATATATATATATATATATATATATATATATATATATATATATTTAAATAGCACTTTAGGATAAAGTACACTTTTAAATGACATATTATGATCTGTGGTATAGTTGAGAACCAGCAAATGTAACCATTCTCAAGGAATAAGCTGGCAGAAATTCTAATACTTTCTCTAGTACTTAGATATCCACAGCTGAAGTCAATCCTGGAAAATTAGTGATTCTGTACCCCTCCTTCAGGATCAATGATTCTCAGGTTCTTTGTCAAATTGTCACTTGAAGTGTCTATCCTGATGCTCTCTGGTTGTCTTGATCTCGTTGGGCTGTTAGAGGAGAGCTCCAAATATTTCTTCTGTTGATGCTGGGGAAGAAATAAGTTTACCAATTGCATTGCTTTACTTATGTTATACACATGATACTTTGCAAAATGATTCTAAAAAACACATTCCAGAGAAGAGACTCCGATATCCCCTCATCACTCTAATGTAACCTTAAGTGCTTTGAAATGAGCTAATGAAACTTTTGGGCAGGCCTTTTAAGACAGTACATTTGCATTTGATATAATTAGTGGTAGGCAGATCTCACTACATCCAGGGGGAATCTTGAGACGACTGCTTTGTCGACTATTAGTGCCTAATTTCTGAATGTCAAACCCTGAACATCTTAATTTCTAGAGAATAAGCTCAATTGAACTTGCTCCCCAGTTATGCAAAAACTGCTCAGATAAAACCAAGTGGACACCAATGTAATGAATGTGGTTATTAAATTGTTTCAATTGAAAGAACCCTATTCTTACACCATCATAATGGGAACAATTTATCCCTACTGATCGGCCTGTCTCTCTCTTTCTCTCTCTCTCTCTCTCTTTCTGAGCTCTCTTTGATCTTGAAGCATATTGCGGTGGTGTGTCCTATTGAAAAGCGAAACTGGGGCAATTTTAATGCTTTTGTACCTTACCAGTGCTCTATTTTTTCTCTGTTTAAAAATAGCTGTTAATTATAAGTGCAGTTTAAATGTCTCAAGTGACCCAGAAATGCAGGTTGGAATGAGACAGATTGTGTGTCTCATATAAAACAGATGTACTTTCTCAGAGCATTCTGAATTCAGCCTTTGCTCTGCATCCTCTTCTTGGGTTGTTTCAATCAGATATTGAGCTAGTTTTAGCACAATGCTATAAAATCTCATACATTTGAACAAGAAACAACAAAAATTTATATATATATATATATATATATATATATATATATATGTATTCCCCCACAAAGAAAAGCCTTTATTGTCTATTAGCCATTATGGGTGGTTGTGGGTGAGTGGGTGCTGGGTGCTGTAGGTGTGATAGGTAAAGCCCATATGGCTTTCTAGAACTGCATCTTGCTGTCTTGTGGTTCAGAAGACTCTGTTAACAGAGTACTGTAGTGGTGTAAACGTATCTCCTGAGGTCCTTCTTTATCTTAATTTAATAGTGCACAAAACCAAATTAACCTCCTGCTAATTTTCAAACACCTTTGACTCCACACCAGTTTCAGAAGCTTGTGTTTTTACTCCTGGATATCACTAGGCCCTGGAGATGGTGACATCGCTGGTGGTGATTCAGGTATGGAGGCTTTGACATGCTCCATGCTAACTTAGTAAAATCACACCAGTTTATTCTGAAAAAGTACTTAGCCAATTATGTTTGTTTGTAGACACTTCTGTGTCTTTGAAGGTACTTTTAGCCCATTCAGATCTAAGAATTGACATCAGATTTAAGTTTAGAACAGAACACATTCCAGTGGTTAGATAACCCTGCTCAAGTCCTGTCAGATCTTTGATACATACTCCAAACATCATGAATCCTAAAAGGTGGACAGTAAGGGAACTCAGGACTCATCAGCACTTCTGCTCTACATGGAATCAGCTCTTGCGAGTCCTTGACCAGCAGAGAGGAGATATCTAAGACAGCAGAACAGTTTGTGTTGACTTCCATCTGCTTCTAACCAGAAGTGCCCACCAGGAGTTCTCTATAGCCACTATAGTGACCCTAAATACAGAATGGTGAAGGCTTAGGGGTCCATTTTTCAAGTTCTTTCTAGAAAACTTATAGATATTTAAGTCAAATTCTAAGTATAGGCACTGATGTGAATATTTTTATAGCTAGTTTTCTATTCTAACCCATAATTTTAATGTAACTGGTGTTCAGTTAAATTTTCTACTATTCCCAGTGATATTTGTTTTACTTAGTGTTTATAATCTTATTAGTGACAATCTGTAGTAGTTGAGCTCTGGTGTCATTCTAAGCCCATGGCTTATCTTTTTTCCCCCTCCTTGTATTATTTAATTTTTATCAGTATATGTTTGAGTACAGAATGATTACTTATCATGGGGAGTTTGTACATGTACATAACACATCTTTATTCATTTTTTGGTCCCCCTTTCTCTCCCAAAGTATAAAGACAAAATAAAAGACACATAATAGGAAGCAGGAGATTTTTTCAAATAAGAAAGGGAACAAAAGATGGAGGGAGGGAGGGAGGGAAGAGAAAAGCTGATGATTTATCTTGACAAGGAAAGTATTTTATCAGGACATCTTAATGGAATCTGTCACAGAGAAACGATGTAAAAAAATTCTAACGATTCTTTAAATCCATACCATATATACACATTCTATGCACTAAGATACATTTCTATTGCTATTAGAAGAACAACGATGCATTTATAGACACATACTACTTATACTACTGCTAAGTGGAGTTAACTGGGACAGAGAACCAGCTGGTGTATGTGATGAAGGGAGATGGAAATGTCTTAGAGCCCAGTGACACTCTAGAAGGAGAAAAAACCAGCATCACCTTTAGTGCACAGATAGCTACGGGTGATACTGAACAGACACTGGGACATTCGGGGTAGATGCTGGGTGGATAGATGAGCTAGCCTGGACTACCAGGTTTTGAGCAGGTCAGAATGCTGAAGTGGGAATGTCCAGTGTGAAAGCTGGGTGTTAAAATGATCTGTGACAGGAAAAAAAAAAAAAAAAAAAAAAAAAAAAAAAAAAAAAAAAAGAATGAGGGAGAAAGCCAGGAACTGGCAGCCAGGTAGACATGTAGGCCAGAGGGAGCTGCAAATTCCAGACCTCTGAATGAGGAAGTAGTCCAATATCAGGCAATTGCCAGTAGCCAGGTGTCTGGAGACTGGAGAGGAATGACCAAACACGCAAAAGCTCAGGTGTAAGGCTTTGGAAACAAGCGAGGACTGTGATGGATGAGGCAGCTTTCCTGCTTCAGGTGCCAGAGAAAGGGAGAGACCTCAGCCAGATGGACCCAGGAGGAGGAAACAGGTGAAGGAACTGAATGTGGGCTTTGCTGAAGGGAAGGCTGAATTCTGGCAGGCGGATGTTGACTACTAGTGTGCCTGGGAGTCTTCACAACTACTTACTAACTTTATTCGCCCATCTCAGTCACCCAGACAATCCATGTCCTAAAAACTCTGAAGAAATTTTTCAGGCATAACCTGTTTCAAGACTTTTCTCAGACACACCATCTGATCTGAAGGCCGGAAGGCTCTATGTCAGGATAAACACAAAGGCTATTGTGGAATAAAGAGGTGCTCTGAACTTTCCCCTCATTTGTGTTTTCTTGAGTAATTCCCATCATTTTTATAAGAATTTGTGTATATGTTTGTTAAATGATACAGTGGAAAGAAGACTTCTGAATCAGACTGATGCGTACGTAAACCTTAAATTTTCTTTTATCTCACAGATCCATTACTTGATCCAATGAGTTACATTTTAGAACCACAGTTATCTTCAGTAAAAAAACAGATAATAAGACCAAAATGGGTATTTCGCTCTCTTCCATACCATTGAGAGAACTAGCTGTCTGCTCTCTAGGAGGAAAGGAAAGGAGGAAGTTTTTGTCTTCTTTCTGTCTCCCTGTTCCATCTACTTGCTTGGTCTCTCCTCTTCCTCTTTCTTTTTCCCACGCTGAATGCAAGTGTATGAGCTTGTTAAGAGTACGTGTTCTTCTTGTGAAGGAAGTTTTCCTTGTAGAGAGATGCATTAAAAAGCCCATTTGACAGACGATCTAAATCACATTATCTAATTTTGTTTTTCAGGGTCAAGACTGATATTTTAATCTACATTGGGCCATCCTGACATCTTATTTCTCAGCTGAATCTCCACTCAAGTTGCCAGTGAACAATACCAATAAACAACATGGACAGCTATGCCTCCAGAGCTATGAAACCTGGAAATCCTAACTGAAGCTCTGAACACTGTGCCTGGCAAATAGTGCTAATTTAATAAATGGAAGTAAATAATAATGATCATTGTAATCACAACTTATTCTTCTTCTTAATAATAACCTCTTGGGAGCACAGTTATTCCTCTGAGCTGTCAACTCTTTCTTCCTTCAGTTTTTATCTGTCTGTTGTTATGGACCAGCCTACCCTACCCTCCTTCCTGCTGACTTATTCCTACATCTGTTTCTATCCAAGGTATCAAATGCTATTTTTTAATTAGTTGAATGTAGAACACTTTTTTTCTAGTCTTCTCCAGGCTCCATGACTGATTTAGGACTGTTTACTTGTTTAGAGGAGCAAAAGAAAGGAAACTGTACCCTTGAACTCAGTAAAAGGAGGGCAGGCTTGTGATGGTTCTCAGCCTGCCTCCACTTCCCTTCTGTCTGGCTCCAGTTTACAGAGCTGATCCCTTTGGTTAGGAGGAAAGGAAGTGTTTGGTTAAACTGGCATTAATTTTCCTCAGGTGGCCAGGCCTGCTCTGCCGAAAGCCCACCTTGAACAACGATTCTTCCTTACCCCACATCCAAGTCTTTCCTTGATAAATGGCTGTGCAGTGCTATGTGTGTTTTCTCTTAGTCCACCACTGTCTCTCTGAATTCTGATCCCTGGCATCCCTGCTCCCACACTCCTGGGTGCCTCCCTGTCTACCTTCTCTGCCAGACTCCCTGTCACCTCCCTCCTATCACTTCTGTCTTCTATTCAGCACTTGCAGTCAGTGATGGCTCCAGTTACCTGCCCTCTAATTTTAAGGGCTGTACCTAAATCAGATGACTTTCCTCTGACCTCACTTTTCCTGAATGCAGTGGCTCAGGGAACTCTATCAGGTGAACTTTGTCAAGCAGCTACCTCCACAGCTTTGCACCTGCTATTCCCTCAGCTTGGAATGCTCTTCCTCCAAGAAGTCAACAAAGCACCCAGCACCTTTCCGTTCTGTGCATTAATAAGAAATCTCAGCTCTGTTATTGGGTTATGCTGACATGAGCATATTCAATTCAATGGATTCCTGCTTTGAGAATTTTTTTTTTCAGTGTAGAACAATATGGATAGGTACTTACCTAGTTAAAGAATTAACTACTCAGAGAGCAATGAGCTCAATCAAATAAATCTATGCATCAAACCTAAGATGACAGGTAGAAGATAAGTTTAGGTTGGTATGCAAATATTCTCTATTAAGCAATTATATTTGGGTAGGCACTTAGAATTTTCATCCACATCAGATTCTGAAATCTAACAGAAAGCATATTGAAACTTATTTCTCCATTCCCCAATTGTTTTTATTGGTGTAAAATGCAGATAATAATATCAATGATCTTAACTATCGTTTAAAAAAAGTTTTAAAATTATTTTGAAGGTAGTAAAATACAACCGAACAAGATGGAACAAAGCCAATTTAGACAGTGTAGTGAAATTGGTACAGAACTTCAAAGCAGATTACCAGTATCACAGTATATCTCGTTGTCTTCTGTTGTTCTTTCAATCAGGTGTAGCAAAATAAAATGAAATACAGAACATTATAGAACTTATCAAAAACAGAATATTGAATAAAGCAATACCATTAATCAGAATAAAGCAAAACAGTGGTAAAAATATTTGCTTTCAAAGAGGTGGTAGAAGGAAATCCCCCTTATTTGCTATACTGCATATGGTCAACTTCCCAAGAGATGCTCAGATCCCTGTCTCCCATTTGCTAATGGGGGATGGGGAGGTGGATGTTTGATTCTCAGCCCCTGCCCCAGTAGGCTCACTATTGCTTAGTAGGAAGGAGAGCTGGTTGCTTGGTTTCCCTGTGCCCTAAGTTCCAACATGGTGCAGATCTCAGGAGTCACTGGTGGTTCTCCCCCTGTGGTGGCCACAGCCTGCCACACCACAGCCACTTACCAGGGAGGCGAGCTGGTTGCTTGGTTTCTGATCTTAACCATCTTTAAGTGTATGGTTTAGTGTTATAAATGCAATCATGTCATATTATTACCACTATTCACTCCTGAGCCATGTTCATCTTGTAAAACTGAAATTATATTCATTAAACAATAACTTTCAATTTCCTTTTCTTTTGGTAACCATTCACTGTGTTTCTATTACTTTTTCTACTCTAAATATCTTCTATAAGTGGAATTACACTGTATTTTGGGTTTCTGTGACTGGTTCATCTCCTCTAGCATAATGTCCTCAAAGTTTATCTATGTTCCGGATTTGTCTGAACTTTCTCATATTTTAATAAAAATGTTAGTGTATTTTTTCATCCTCTGTATGATTTTATTCTTTACATGGAATGGAAGACAAATAATTTTAAAAATTTTGTTATACAATAGTTGTTTTCTTATAGTAAAATACCTAGATGATTGAAATTATTTTTTTTCTGGACATTGTGTTAACATCAGTGTAATGGCAATTTAAATGAGTTGGTGACAAAATATTTCAGCAGTATTTCTTGAATTTTTCTCACTGGTTAGGGTGATTAGATGCTACCTTCATAATTCTTTGGTACTGTTTGGAATAGTAGAGAAGAATCAAGAGTTGTGTGTCTCCTGGAGTAGTGTTCACTTTTCTCTGGAGCCAACTGCCTTCTGACAGAGTCAAAAAGAGAATTAGGTTGTACCATGATCAGTGAAAGACCAAAACCTGTGAGCAATAAAAATAAAGAAGAATCAGCATTTTTGAGTCTGGTGAGATCTTGGTAGTATTAGATAACTTCTAAAGTAACTTCAGTAGTTACATTGGAAAACACAAAGATCGGATACAGTCATGGCAGATATAGTGTGGCTAATTTATATAATGTGACAAGGAAACTAGCATTTGGAAACAAATTGGTACTTATTGATGTAATTTTTGCATTTCTTTTCACTGTCTTGAGGAATTAGCTTTTGGGTATTGCCTAGGTAACAATATTTTAGTTTCATTAAAAATGATCACTATTTTGATAGTAAAGATCAAATTTAATTAAAACTAGACACACAGTTCTTTTCATTTGGAAAACTCACAATCTTTTCTCTTTCTTAAAGGAATAAACTATACCGTGTGAACTAAAAATTAAAATCTTAATAACAGAATCTTTTCCACAGCCTTGATAGCTACTCAGAAATTACACTAAGTATCTATTATGCACCAACTACTTTTGAAGGGTTTTTAACATATTTATTTTCATCCTTACAAAAACAAGGAAGGGAATTATTAAATTCCTGTTACAGATGTTGAAATTAGGGTTCAGAGAATGTGAAGAAAGGGCTCAAATTTACCTGCATAGCAAGATAAGTCTAACAGACTGTCAAAGCCTTTGGAAATTCCGTGGTACCTATCATGTGTCCTTTTCATTCCAAGCAAAAAAGGATGCTTGCTCATAAGCAATAATATGGCATTAATATGTTGAGTGTGTTCCAGGGGAGGAAATAAACAAAAGTCAGACGATGACACAAAAACCTATGAAATGTTCCAACAACTTGTAAAATATGAGCCATGTTAAAAACCTTACCAGGAATTAGGAGGACTAGCAGATACCTTGCAAAAGTTTCAGAGATGGTTTAGAAATCTTTGTGATTTTTTTAAACTAAAAGAAATATGTATTTCCCTTTACCCGGCTTCTTAAGGCCATGGGTGGTCCATGACAGTGAACTGGATTGAACTCAGATGTTTGGTTAGTGACAGTGTTTCTTTTGTGTGAAACCAGCAATATTTCAGCAGAAGTATTAATGCAATGATCCCTTCAAGCATAAATTTGCAGGGCTGTGCCTCTGCTCTCCTCTGTCCCTGACAGGTGCCTCTAGTATTAGATTCGAGGCAGGGGTTGTACGGTTTGAAAACCAAACATCATTTTGTTCCATTGGTTTGATTTCATTGTTTATAACAGTATTTAGTTTACTCTAAATTTCACAGAATGTTTAAAGACGGACTGAGATTCTGATGTATACTGAGTAAGGACTTGTATTTCATAAATGTGAGAAACACCTTCCTGAGAGAATGTCTCATTCCTTTGAAGTAAGTTGTTGGCCCATGAACCTCCAGTAGCATGGAGGACTGAAGGTTAGACTTGATTCTTGTGTCACAGAGAAAATCAGATATCTCATTTTAAAGTAGCACTTTTCACAAAAGAAATTATCATGTAAAAACTTCATAAATTAGGCATTTCCCTTGAAATTGAGTAGTACACTTTGAAACCTCTAAGTACACAAAATATCTTTTCTAAGGTAAAAATGTTATTCTGACCCACTTTAATCATTGGTCTTCTTTGACCTTCCTGTGAAATTTCTGGGTCATTTTCATGGCATTTAGTCAGTTCAATACTTTTTGTTTATAATAACCTACAGATCAGAGTCTAGTAAACCCCAGGCATTCAGTGTCTTTAAATGATTCATGGTTTCTCCTACATGAACAGTTTTTAAAAATAATGTTCAGATGTCAAGTTTCTGTGTTAGCCCTCAGTTCTTTTCTACGGTCTTGTGTTAAGCCTTGTTGTGGGTTCATTGTTCTTTTACTCTTGCGGAACTGAGCTGCCTTTTAGAAAGTGGAGATTTCTTATAAACATCTCTGTTTGCTGCCCTGTCATTCCTAATACCAATCTGTTTTTTTTTTAAAGAAAAAGACAAAACAGAAAAATAGGTAGAAATAATACAGAATTAAAAAAATACTAAGACATCACTAGTTGATAAATTACATATTATCTTAGAAGTAGTTGTTCAAATCACAAAATCAAAGCGTAAAGGTGGACACTCAAACAATGACAGTGTAAACCATTCTGTTTGGTGAACTAACATAAACTTAGTAGTATGGTTGTCGATCTTGAACACTTAAACATACATACAGTTATATCCTTTAGAGCACTTTCTTTCCCTTTCATTATTACAATATCTATTATATATTTCGGGTCTTTCTACTCTTTCAGTTGTTTATTATTATTTTTTATACTAGAGAGACAATATGATATTTACAAATATGAGTCTGATTTATTTCATTTATGAGAATAGTCTCCAGTTGCCTCCAGCCAATCTGCTTCTTTCATAATGTGACAGGACCCATTCAAAAATAAAATA